TGCTATTTATGTCCCAAAATATTTTTCCGTGAAAATAAATATTTGGCCTATTTGCCCAAAGCAAAGGTCCCACGAGCACACAGGAGTCACAGCTTCGACAGCAGTGCTCAGCTCAGAGCAGCTCCAGGAGGCAGTGGGGCTGCGGAAGGACAGACCGATCCGGGGGCTGAGCTGGCCTGTGCCCTGGGCTGGGCTAACACTGGTCAGGCACCTGGCTTAGAGAGAGAGAACAGAACTTACTGCTGGTTCTGAATGCCCAGATCAGGGTAAACCAATACTTGTCACTGGCTTTATTCTTTGAGCAAAGCACTAAGGTATTCCCACTCCCCCTGCACAGACTGCTGAAGGAAGAGTGGGCTCCAGCATCCTGACAGGAACCACACCCTGCTATGGAATGACATATGCAAAGCCTTCACCTCTCACCTCTGCAAATTAACTTTGTATTTTCTTATCTTGGGATGTTTCATCACAACTGTGACAGGGTTTTAATGGTCTCTTCTCTTTCCTTGCTAATTGACACTAATGGAATGACAATTGTACATATTCATGACAGGGTGGGCTCCAAATGTAACTGAGGGCAGCAATCAAACACACTCACATGTTTATCCTTTTGGTAAATAACCACGGGGTAGCAGGAAGAAAATGTTGTTTACTTTGCTGCCTTACTTGGGAAACTAAGTTTACAGTATATAATTGTAAATAAAACAAAATTAAAAAATAATAATCATAGGCAACTGCTCTAATCCCTAAGGCACACAAACAGACCACCACTCATGCAGGGGAAGGACAGCCCTGGAGCCTCTGCCCTGCACGGGACTGGGCACAGCAGGGCAGACTGAAGCGTAGGAGTCCCCAGGGAAGCAATCCAACCCTGTCAGATCCTCCCCTCTCCCCTCCTTCTGGACAGGAGTAGTAGCAGGAATTTGTTGATAAATACTCATAGTTGCAGAAGTCATCCTTGGCATGGACATAAATAATAAAAATACGACAACAAAAGGGAACAGAACATTTTCTGCAGTTTCACCTTAGCAAGCTGGTCTTTGCTAACAGCAAAATCACCTTACAGCAGTCCCATGGAAAATTTGCATAAGGCAAGGATTATCCACTGGTTCCTGAGCAGGAATCATCCCCTGTTTGGGCATCCAGAGGTGCTAAGGCTCATCCCCCTAATTACAGGCATCCCTGTGTCACTACCACCTCCCCATGGAAGGTGAAGCAGCAGAATAAACCAAGTACCTAAAAGAAATAAAAACAGAGTGGGAAGCCTATGCTTTAATCTGAACTGGCCATGAGTTCTCCATCTCCACCACACGTGTAAGAACTTTCCTGTGGCCACAGAAGCCCTCCTGGCCAGTGAGGCTGAAACCATGTGGCTTCCCTGGTGTGTCCTCTCCGGGCAGCCAAGCCCTCCCAGCTGCCAAGGTGTGCCTCAGCTACTTGCTGGGATCCATCACCACCTCCTGTACTGCACAGTTATAGTCCAGGTTTCCAACACACACAGGCTCTAAGGTCAGGGAAGTCAGAGCAGCACCTGATGCAGGGATGCAGCACAACAGAGCTGGGACATGGCACCAGGACCACGGAATGGGGCATTTACTGCCCTCCACAGACCCCTCAGACACAGACTGCAGTGAGTGCATTACAGATTTTCCTCAGTAAGATTCTCCCTGCTGATAAAATTTTGAAAAGCAGCATTCCCAGTGCTCCCAAGACACACAAACTGGACAAGAACCAGAAACCTCCATGCAAAACAGGCTTTAAAAGAAAGCAACTGCAGCACCTGCTACTTTCAAATACTCATCCATGTGTGGTATTTGTCACAGAAGTGCCTAAAAATGTTAGTTTATTCAATC